GTCACAGTGGCCTGCTCTATGCCACTGAAGCAAGTTTGCTCTCCTGGGCACAAGAAATTGGACTAGAGTCCGTGACTCGGCAAGGGTTGCCACGAGAGGCAGCCAGGAAGGGGCTTGGCAAGCCTTTATCCAACGAGGAAGCCTCAGATTAGATGACAGGCCCTCCGGCAAGCAGAGCCTCTTTCTCGGGCAGGATAAACGCCTGGTGGATTCATAGCTTGTTGTGGGGAGAACCACGGGATGGGCCCAAGGAGGGTGGGGAGCTAGGAAGGGGGACCATGAGGTTTAGGAGTCTTTCCTGCTCTATTTATTATTTTATTATTTTTTAAAAGATTTTATTTATTTATTTGACAGAGATCACAAGTAGGCAGAGAGGCAGGCAGAGAGAGAAAGAGGAGGAAGCAGGCTCCCCGTGGAGCAGAGAGCCCGATGTGGGGCTCGATCCCAGGACCCTGGGATCATGACCTGAGCCGAAGGCAGAGGCTTTAACCCACTGAGCCACCCAGGCGCCCCTATTTTATTATTTTTTTTTAAAGTAATCTCTGTGCCCAGTGTGGGACTCGAACCTCAGGACCCTGAGATCGAGTCACACACTTTTCTGACTGAACCAGCCACGTGCCCTTCCGTGGTTCTATTTCTAAGCTAGTCCTGCCCCAGTCCCATCTTACTCCTCCAAAGCCCGTGCTCTCTCCACTTGACTGCACTGCCCCCTATGGAAGAGAAATTTTAAAACACCAAATAAGAGGAATTTCACTTAAAAATTAAAGGAGCGATTTAAAAATTGAATTTAAACAACTTATGTCTGTCAGTAAATTGAGATCATAGATTGGGACCAATAGTCTTGGACATCTTTGTTATTTCCTTTACTTTTGCTGGATCAAAATTATTACAAGACCGCTGTTCTGAACACTGAGCTATGGAGCCCACTTTGGATCAAAATTATTTTTTTTATATAGTTTTTATTTTAATTCCAGTTAGTTAACACACAGTGTTATGTTAGTTTCAGGAGTACAATATAGTGACTCAACAACTCCATAAAACACCCTGTGCTCATCGCAAGTGCCTTCCTTAATCCCCATTCGCCTGTTTCCCCCATCCTCCCACCGCCTCCCAAGCAAATCATCAGTTTGTTCTCTAAGAGACCTTTCTGGGTTTGCTGATTTTTTCCCCTTTGCTTGTTGGTTTTGTTTCTTAAACTCCGCATATGAATGAGCTCATATGGTATTTGTCTTTCTCTGGTGGACTTAATTTCGCTTAGCATTATACTCTCTAGTTCCATTCATGTCATTGTAAATGGATTGAAATTATTTTTTAAAAAATTTTATAGGAGCTGCCAATCTTCCCTCTGTGGAGGCTGTGCCCATTTATATTCCCACCAACAATATGAGAGTGCCTGGATTAGCACATCCTTGCCAAAACAATGTTATCACACTTGTTAGTGTTTCTTAACTTGGTGATTTAAAAAAGTATGTCATTGTAGTTTTAATTTGTGTTTTTCCTACTATGGGTAAAACTGAGCATCTTTTCATATGTTCGTTTTTTAGGTAGATGCTATAACCAATGTAGGCCTTGTGATCAAGACCCAGAGATCTAGAGTCAAGAGTCTTATGCTCTACTAACTGAGCCAGCCAGGTGCCCCAGGAATCTTTTTTATGTTTAAAAGGCACTTCTTTCTCTTTTTCTATCTTTACCCATTTTTCTATCAGTCGTGGACCTTTTACTTATTGATTTGTAGGTGTTCTTTAAATATTAAGGAAATTAGCTCTTTGTCTGATTATGTCACACTTTTTTTACATCATTGATTTAAAATGTCTTACGGTTTTAGTTCTGGGAATTAATTTCTAAGATGTATATATAGTAAGGTTTTTCATTTTTTATTTTATGGACTCTGAGTTTTGTGTACACTGCATGAAACTTAGAAACTTGTGTGTGTATACAATAGACTTTTGAAAGGTCTATCCAGTTCAAGATTATATAAAAATCTTTTCCCACGTGTTTCTTCTAGTTCTTTCTTTTTAACACTGTGTAAATAGTGTATTTATTGACTGTGTATGACTGAGCCCAAGTGTATCCATTTTCCTATTGATGAACGCTCTTTTGTTTCCAAGTTTTTGTTATTGCTGCAGTGAAAACCTATGGGAGTCTGCTGTGTAATTTGGGGGTTTTCACCCCAGACTATGGGGTCAGGTTGGCTTCTCCAGGAAGTACATTTGGAGGTTTATCTGCAGGACACTCAGGGCCGGGTGTTCTTTGGAGCAACAGCTGTAGGTAATTGGAAGGAGGCAGGCTGGGGTAGAGCGAGAAGTTTAACTATAAGGCAGTTGCAGTGGAGCCTTGCCTCTGGCGCTGGGGTGATCCTTCAAGCTGTCCCATACTGGGGCTAGGTGGCTTGGCCTCATACCCCCATGTTGGCTATAGGCTGCACCTGGGGGGTGGACTTATCCCGGCAAGGCAGCTGCCTTCAGCAAGAGCACTTTCCTGAGAGGAAGTGGTCTGGGAGGCCTGCTGCCATGGCAACTAATGGCTAGGTTCTGAGGGATGGAACCTCCCTGACCACACCCCACACCCCCAGCAGCCACAGGCACTTTAAGTGTACTAGGTTTTGCCAAGCTGTTTTTCAAGATCATACCAACTTCTACTCCCTTTTCAGTGTCTAAGAATTTGTACTGCTATTCTTCCTGCTGATGTTTTCCATCTTGAGGTTTCCCATACTATTTTCTAGGTAATTTCGATATGTCTTTCGTGAGGTGCAAAAATTACTTCTTTGGTGGTGTCTAACCTGCTTCTTCTTTTTTAAAAGATTTTATTTATTTGAGAGAGTGAGAGAGCACAACCATGGGGGAGAGAGAGAAACAGGCTTCCCACTGAGCAGAGAGCCCAAAGCAGGGCTGGATCCCAGGCTCCTGAGCTCATGACCTGAGCCGAAGGCAGACGCTTAGCCAACTGAGACACCTGGGTGCCTCTTAGTGCTTAAGTTTTAAAAAGCTATTACAGAGGTAGTAGCTCCTAATTCTCTTAAGGTCACTTTCTTCTCTTTTAGTCTAAATATTCGATTCATTTGTCCTGAGCATCATTAAAAAGAGATGGACTTGCTCCCCAAGTTTTACTCCTGGGGAAGAATCAGGGGTCCTAAGGCCCCAGATCAATATGCCTCTTCCCAGCTGAGTGGCCCCAGGCACACCTGCTAATCTCATTGTGTGTCCTCACCTGTGAAGGGCAGGTGATATTTGCCTGTAGGGTAGTGGTGAGAATTAAGAGATGAGTATGTAGAACGGCTGGCACGAAATAGGTGCTTAATAAAGAATATCACTTAGTGATACTAACAATACTTCTCTTTGCAGCCCCGGAAGCCAGGTACTAACAGAGAACTCATACCGAGACGTACCTTCTCCCTGAACTGAGCGCTATCTGGTTATCTGGTATCCTGTATTCTTACCTCCTGAGCACTGGTTAGAGGACTGGGAGTTAACAACTGAAGCAGTCTTCCACTTGACATGAGCAAAATAAATCAAGCAAACCAGAAGATTCCATCATAAGGAAGACTACCAATTTCAGAGCCACCCCTGTTCCAAGCATTCCTCTTCCTCCTCCTCAGGTCCTCCTGTTCTCCTGGGACTGTCACTCTCCTGACTGAGATGAACCCTGTGGGACTTGACAGGGTTCAGATCGCTGTGGTCAGCAACAGAGAAACAGGGAGGCAAGTGTCAGACTTGGCCATAGCCTTAAGCTTGAGCCTACCGGGGCCGCTCACCTCGAGCTGGTGTCTGTACTTGTGCTGGCTTATCGCGGGCTCTGGGCACCTTTCCCACTCCTTCCTGTGCTGCTCTGTACCTTCGGGGCTGGAATTCTGCACACTACATTTCCCAGGTTTCTTTAAGGTTGTTTTTTTCAATGGGAGGTCCAGGGAGCTGACTGGAAGACAGGAGGAAGGGAGACACTGCCTCTCCAGCCTGTACTCTGACGGCGCTTCTGGCAGGAGCGGCTGAGTTGGCCCTCCAGGCTTCCTGCTCAGGGGATGAGGTCCCCGGGACAGAGCAGCATTGGTGATTGCCAGCACCCTGGCAGCCCTCAATGTCTTGTGTGGACTCTGGTTCTGCAGTCACCCCAGCGGGTGGCTTTAGGCTCCCCATTCCTGCAGTGTCCTTGGGGATTCTAATGATGTTGGCCACTAGATGATCCCACTTCCCACACAGCCCTGGGGCTGACAGCATCTGCCCAGCTCCTAATGGATGGCCTCAATTTCTCCTCTTTGGATCTTTCACTCCTTTCAATAGTTCAGTCACATTTTCCTATAGTAAATTCCCCACTTTGAAATGTTTTGGGGTGCTTGTTTTCCTGGCTGGACAAGCACCAGAGTCTACCCTGAACTTGCCTCTGCCATCGAGCCCATGGGTTTCAGAGTGCTGGGCTCTCCCGGAGCCTCTGTGAAGGTGGCACCCCAGGAAGTAAACGAGGAAACTGGGGTGCTGGCTGAGGAAAGCCCTGGTCTCTTGTGGGGGTGGTGCCTCCTCCAGGGCCCTTTGGAGACCCTCCCCAGCCCTCCTCCCGCCGACCAGGTTGGTACCACAGCACCAAGGGCGCGTATACCGTTCTCCCCCTTGTCCCCCAGATGCTCTGTGCAAGGCAGGGACATCGGTCCTCCGCCCTTGCTGACATATGGTGAGGAACAGGTGATGGGGAAAGACAGATCAGCCCTCTTGTACCCCAAAGTCTCATTTGCCCAGCCCAGTTTCCCCCTTCCTCACTGGATAGGGAAGAGAGGGCGGAGTCCAATCAGCCCCCAGGGAAAAAAACCTGTACAAACAGTGTTGGCCTACATCAACTCTTAAATATTTAATTCCCATTTATTTAAAGTTCTGTCAGTCTGTGTACACTATTTATATTAAAAACACAGGAAGCTGGGGCTCCTAGCAAAAATATACATTTCGATTTTGGAGATTGTGTTCAGACACTGAGAAGAGCTGTATCCTCAGCACCAGGCCTGGGTGGGGGAGGGGGTGCGTGGTGGCGGGTGGCGGGCGGGGGCAGGCACAGTATCCCTCCCTTCACAGCGCTGGCTCAAAGGGAGCACCCCAACCCCAATCCTTGGTCAGCTGAGCGTGGGGGTGGGAGAGAGAAGAATCTTGTCAGTAGAGAATGATCCCGAGGCCTGGAAGGCAGGGACAGACGGATAGGACTCTAAACTCAGGTCTTTCCTAACCTTTCTCAGAGACCCTCCACCAGTCCCTGACCCTTCCAGGACAGTTTCCTTCCTGGAGAAGCAGGTTGGGGTCGGGGTGGGGGCTCTATGACTTCCTACTCAGATACAGCATCCAAACTGGGCTTCAGTCCCTCCCCTGAGGCCGAGTACTTCACCTGGGAGGAGGGGAAGGGCAGACCTGAGGGCCAGAGAAGTGGGACTGGGCCTGGCAAGGTCCTAGGGTCACCAGAGGCTGTGTAGGCGGAGTTCCCAGAAACTGGCTGGGCTGAGGGAAGGGGAGGGTAGCAAGACTGTTGGGACAAACGGATGTCACACTGAGCGGGATCAGTTACCCCGGGCACCTCCCCACTGTGCAGGTGCTGGGCTGGTTCAGCAGGACACCCCTGCGCAGGGCCCTCTGGCCCATCTGCCTCGGGGAAGGGAAGGGAGGGGTGCAGAACCAGGTAAAGTGATTCAGTGCTTGTGTATGCTGGAGTGTTGTGTGTGCGTGCGGGGGGAGGTGCGTGAGCTTCATTGGGGCTCCTGGTTGAAGCTGAGGCCCAGGAACTCCTGAGAAACAGGAGTCGTGGTTGGTGGCTGCTGCAGAGTGGTAGGAGAGGGGGTGCCGATGACCCCCAGGCCTGGGCTCAGAATTAAGTCCACCGCCTGCTGCCTTTTTGGCCAACCTCCACCTCCCTTGAGGCTTGCTCCTCTTCAGTGGGGGGAAGCCCGTCTCCTTCCAGGCTGGGGGTGTCCCCTGGCGGCCAGCGCAGGGGACCATCAGTGACACTGGCCTGGCAAACTGGTGAAAAGAAGAGAGGGTGTTGCTATCAGTGTTGCTGGGGTGTGTTGCTGGAGAGGGGTTGGCTGGATAGGGGAGGGCAGTGACAGTCTGGGGGAGGCATCCTGGCCCTCAGGGCAGGGCCCCGGTGACTCGGGGTCCACTGCTGCAATCAGCCCAGGCCCCGCATGGCTTCCCCAGGAAGCTGGGCCTAGAGAGCTTAGTGTTTCTTTGGCTGGCCCGAGTCCTTTGCTGTGCAGACAGGAGAAGGGAGGCGCCCACCCCTGCAGGTGACTGTTGATGCAAAGGGCAGGCCCATTCCCCCCGGCTCCTGGGGAACAGGGGACGGGGTGGACGAAAGCAGAGGACCTGTTCCATGCTGCTGGTGAAGTAACACAAACTGTCTCTCACAAAGAGAAAGGGGGACAGACATGGGGATGGGGAGAGAGAGAAAGGAAGGCAAGGGAGGAAGGAAGAGGCAGGAAGAGAGAGCGAGGGAGAGCAAGGAAATCAGAGAAGAAAGAGGATCTGAGAGAGAGGCAGGTGAAGAAGGGGAGGCAGAGAAAGCGGGGAGCAGGAGGCCGTGTGTCTGAGCGCAGGAGCAGGGAGGCTGCGGTCCAGAAAAGTCTTGTGGGTGACTTATGTCCCAGCTCCAGCGGCCCGCCCCCTCAGTACATGTCCTTATAGATCTCCTGGAGCAAGGGGTGCAGCGAGGTTTCCGTTTCGGTCTTCTTGATGCGCTGCATCATCTGTGCGTGCTCGGTGACCAGCTGCCGCAGGTCGGCCATCTTCTGCAGCAGCTTGGGGAAGAGGTACTGGGCGTAGGGGTGGTTGGCCTGCAGGTGGAACTCGAGGGCACGTAGGATGGTGTCCTGGATGGCCTCCACCTGGGGCACGTTTATGAGGCCTGGCCGGTCTGTGGGGACACAGGGCAGAGGTATGGGAGGGAGTCGCAGAGGAGCTCCCCTACCTCTACCCTGGGTGGGTGTCTTGGCCCAGAGGACAGCAGACCCGCTGCCGTGACAGACCCGAGCCCTGTCCTGTCAGTGACTGCTCCACAGAGACTTCTAATCCCTCTGCCCCAGGGCCCGGCCCATGTCCTTTGCCTTTTTGGTTTTCTCTTCTGAGAAAGGGGAGTATGACCTCATGGTAAAGAGACTCACTGCCTGGGTTCAACCCGCATCCCCACCACAGACTAGCAAGGAGACTGTGCACTGGCCACTCCCTGCAGCCTCTCTGACTTTAGTTCCGTCATCTGTAAAATGGGGTGACAGAAATGCCTTCTGCACAGGCTGCCATGAGAACCAAGTGAGTTATCATCTAGGAAAAGGAACCACAACAGTGCCTGGTACGAAGTGAGCTCTACAGCACTGTGAGTGTGATGATTATTCTATTTATTGCATTGGGATCTGAAAAGTGGAGGCAAAATACGAAGAATCATCCCCATGAACATGTTGCATATTTCTTCAGTCTTGTCTGCCTCCTCTCCATCGAGAAGAGGGAGCCGGTCCTCCACACCATCGGCACCTCGTGTGTCGTGCTGCCAACATCACACGGGCACCGCCCCACACTGTTTGGGTTCAGGCCTGGTGCCCCGCGGTAAAGGCCCAACTCCCAGAAGGGCTGGGTGTGTGGGGCAGGCCCACCAGCCCCAGCCTCACTTACCTCCACAGAGAATGATAGCCGCAATGAAGAGAGCCAAGTCACTGTCGTCAAGTTCCAGGGCATTGAACTTGACTGCAAACTCAAACTTGGGCTCAATGATGTCACTGAAGGGCTTCCGGAGGCTCCGCAGGAACTCCCGGGTGACGAAACCAGTGCCGTTGGCCACCAGTAAGCCATCCTTGTTGACAATGGAGGCCAGCATGGCGAAGATAGCCTCGTGCACACCATACTTGAGAAGGGTCACCTGATCGTTGAGGAAGAGGTTGCTGAAGCTGGGGATGCTCTTGGCAAACTCGGTGAGCTCCCGCACGGTCTCGACCGTGGTGTACTGGCAGCGGTAGAAGACGTGCACGCTGATCTCCTTGTAGGGGGGCAGGCCGTTCACCAGCTGCTTCCACACCAGGCCCTTCTCTGCTTGCCACAGTGTCTCGATGTCGTGGATCACAAAGGGCTGAAAACCAGGCCCCGTTAGAGGCCAGGCCTTGGGAGGACCCCCGCCCATGTGCTCCCCATACCCCCGGCCTCTTCCCCGAAGTGAGGGGAAGGAAGTAGCCCGGTTCTCCCAGAAGTCAGGTGGGCGGCAGGCAGGGCCTAGTGCGGGCAGCCAGGCCGAGCAGTGACACTCACCGCCGTGTGGCTGGCCTTGCCGGTGAGGATGCCGCGGGCTTTCTTTTTGGTCATGTTGAAGTTCTTCAGGTAGGCATTGTAGATGTGCTTGGAGAAGGCCTTCAGGTCAGCCACCTGTGGGTTGTGCTGATTCCCCTCGCTTGCCGTCAGCCCCGCCACCAGCTTCCTCTTCTCAGCCTCTGGCATCCGGCCAAAGCGGATGGCTGTGTGTGGGGTAGGGGGTGAAGAGAAGTCATCGAGGAGCCCAGGCGGGAGCCAACACCTCCAACCTCCTTGTCTCACAACAGGTACGGACGCCAAAAATGGAGACCCACTTTTTGAGCCCAGGACCCTCAGAAGCTCTACAGCCAGCACACGGGAATATTGGGGAACCCCTCCCGAATGTAAGCTCCAGGGGGACAGGGATTCTGTCTTGTTCATAGTGCCTGGCACATAAGAGCCCTAATTCAGGGAGTTGGCTGAGCCACTGTGGCTGGAAGGCAGTGCAGTGTGACAGGTGGGAAGACAGTCTCTGGTGTCAAAGGCCCATGCCTGAGTTCCAGGAGGCAGGAAGAGGAAGGCTATTTCACCTTTATTCATAAGAAAAATGGGCTAATACTGAAATCTCACTGGATTGTCAAAACAATTCAATAAGAATATTTACACAGTAAGCACTAAAAAATTAGTTATTAGTAATGAACAGGATACAAATCCGGCTTCTCTAAGAGAAGAAGTGAGAAGAACTGAGTTGGCCTTGAGATCTCCTAGGAAATCTGCTCAGCCCACCTAAGGAACAGAGCCTGGGAAGATACAGACTGGAGGGAGGGACCAAGCCCCAGACCTGCCAGGCCCCACCATGGAGGAAAGGCTGCAGATGGAGGGCTTGGGTCCTGCCACCATCTAAAAGGCAAGACAGGGTAGCTGTGGGTGGAGGCATTTAAACAAAAAGCTCTCCTGAATCCCCCGAGGGGGGCTCTGACTCAAGACAGGCAAAGTGGGGGGCAGATGGGCTCTGTGCAATCCTACTGTATGGGGTCTGAAGACAATACCGTAGGAGGCCCAAAGTGCAGGGCAGTCTCTGTCTCCCAGGAGTGGCCAGACTCCAGAAAACTCCTGCCTGGCTGCCGGCAGCGGACACCTGTGGTCACTCATGGCTCCTGCCTGCCTTTACTAACCAGCAAGGGCCCAGGGGATCCCAGGCTTTGGCAGCGGCTTTTTATGCTGTCAGGTCATCTGAGACAGGCTTGGGTTGCTAGAAATGGTGTTTCCAATGTGACTGGAGCTGGGGTCAATCCCCAGTGAGCCTCGGGGATTGAAAGCGGGTGACCACTCTGGGCCCGGGCCCCAAAGCGGATGTGGAGTCGTCTGGGGAAGGCACTTTGGTCTTGGGATTCCTGCACACTGGGCATGGCTCTGAGGGTCTCCTCACCCCACCTCAGCAACCCCTTCCCCCCCACCGCCAGGCCTGGTTTCTGGCCATACTGTGTGGCCGGCTCTCACCATTGTGTGACATGCCCAGGGCCACGCATTTCTGGAAGCGGCAGTACTGGCACTTGTTGCGGTTCTTCTTCTGGATCTTGCAGATCCTTTCGCACTTCTCGTACTCCAGCTTCATGCGGATCGTCCGACGGAAGAAGCCCTGGTGGGGGAGGGTCACAGAAAGCTGAGAATCCTGCTCTGCACCCCGGATTCTGGGATGTCAGGGGCCCCAGTGCTGTGTGTAAATGTCAGAATTCCTGAAATTTGGAAGTTACGGGGGGGGGGGGGGTTTTTTTTTGGGGGGGGGGGGGGGAAGATAGAAAAAAACGCTAAAGCCTTTGAGATATATCTGTCTATATCTGTATCTATCTATCTATCTATCTATCTGTCTAATTCTTCACTTTAAGTGCTTCTTTGTGCGTTTGGTAACATAAAATTGTATCATGGCTAACCTGGTTTACTCGTAAATGTATCTTGTTCCAGGTATTTTCTAGGCAGTGGTTTAGTAAAATAATATGTACCATTTTGATGGGTGTGCAATTAGGAGGATGAACCCAAAAGCACCCCTGGAGAAAGAAAAGTAAGTTTTCTTTTCCCTCCAAGGGGCCCTCTTGGGCCTTGAGGTGCAGGAAGCACTTGCCATCAGCCTGATGGCTGAGCCCAAGCCCCTCGTTCTGTTCTAGAGCTATGTCTCCAGAGGGCGCCAGCAGCCAGCCAGCCCATGCGAGGGGCTGGGGCGGTGCCCAATAGGGCAGGCCAACAAGGGACCAGCCATACCCAGAGCGGAGGCCTGGAAGGAGCCCAAGGGCCTGGCTGCCTCCCGGGTGGGAATTCCGCAGCAGGTACTGTGAGGGCCTGGCTTCTCTGGCCGGTCAGCTCTCCATGTATGTAAACACAGCCCCAGCTGCCAACCGCCACTCGCCGCGGGCCCTACCTTGCACCCCTCACACGCATGAACACCATAGTGGAAGCCCGATGCCTTGTCCCCGCACACACGGCACTCCATGTTGAGGCTGCCACACGAGGCCCCGTCACAGCCCATCTGCAACTGGTCCAGCAGGGAGGGTGGCGAGGAGCTCCGGGAAAGGTCTGTGGACACATGACACAGGGATGCCTTCAGTTTGGCTGGGACAGGGGCCAGCGGAGGTGACCAGAGCCCACAGGGGCACAGTGAGGGTTGTGGGGGAGAGCCCACATTTCCCAAGCAGCCCTCACTCAGCTCAGACACTTAAGAGCTAAGTGCCGCAAGCAGTCAACCTTTCTGAGGGTTGGTTTCTTCATCGAGAACATGAGGCTCTTCCCCGGACCTGCCATATAGCAGGTGTTTGGGAAATGGCAGCTATCATTATCGGGGGGAAGTCAGAGCCTTCCTGGGCTGTACTGACCACAGAGCAGGAAAGAGGGGTGTGTGTGCATGCGTGTTTATCGGGGAGGATGACTATGTTTTGGGGGGAAGGGAGCAAGAGGAGGAAGCAGACAAAATCTCTTTAGACTCAACTTGAGAAGTAGCTCTCGTAGCGTGAGAGGCTCCACCGTCTGGGCCCGTGTGGGGTTGTACGGAATGTGTGTGAGGGAGACCAACCCTCCATCCACCTCTCCTGGGAAATTTGACTCTTGGGTGGGCTCCAGAGATGCTGTAAAGAATCTCTCAAGAAGTTCCAATCTGTTCTTTTTTTCTTTTAAAGATTCTTAAGTTATTTATTTGACAGAGAGGAAACACAAGCACGGGGAGTAGGAGAGGGAGAAGCAGGCTTTCCGCTGAGCAGGTACCCGGATGTGGGGCTCGATCCCAGAACCCCGGGATCATGACCTGAGCCAAAGGCAGATGATTAAGCCACCCAGGTGTCCCAAGAAGCTCAAAGCCACACTTACGAAACTTCCTGCTCAAGCAGAAAGAAGGCAGTATCAGTCAGGTCAACTGGGCAGCAAACTGAATATCCCCAGGTTTTTTCTTCTATTAAGTGTATGGGACGTTTGAACCAGTGTTATGGGTGGAAGCAAGGAAAGTACTAGACCACGGCAATAACTTCAGGGGTAGGTGCTGTCAGATGACGCGGTAATCTCTGGGATTCTCTTTGGAATCTCTCCCTTGCACACTTAGCAATGAGCGCGGCCTGAGCCTTGGTGTCCCCGGCCCAGGGCCAGCCACATGACCCCACATGCTGCCTGTCCTGCCTCTGCCACGCTGGCTAGAATCTGCTGTTCTCTGCTCTCTTTCCTGATGACCGAGCAACCTCCTCAGGGGCAGGGGCCAAATCCCCAGACCAGAGAATCACTGGCTCAGAGCAGGCCGGCACCTCAGGGAGACTCACGCCGTGGAGCTGAGCCCAGGCTGAACGTTTCCCAGGCTGGTATTGTCCCTGGTCTGTCATCCAGAAAGCACCAGGGAGCCTGCTCCCTTCCTGGGCTGGTAAGGGCAGGGGCCTAAGGTGAAATGGCCTGTCCCTCCTAGGGTCTTCACTCCCAACCTTCGGTCATTCCGAGGGGTGTAACCATTCGCCTCAGCCCACAGATGGGGGAGAGTGAGCTCCCTCCGTCTCCTGGGCACTGTGCCCCGGAGGGCAGAGCCCCTCTGGTTTTCTGCATAGCCTTTGCCACCACACGTCAGTCCGTGTGCGTTCACTCAGTGCTGGGGGCCCTCCACCAGAATGTAAGGGCCACTGGGCAGGAATGCTGCCCCCGGGTGCTGCTGCGGAACAGGGAGCAGGCACGGAGCACTGACTCTGGTGGAGTGAGTGGACTTCGAGCTCCCTGGGTTGGTCCTGCGCTCAGCGCCCACTGGCTGCAGGGGCTGAGCAGTCCCTGCTGCGCTCAGAGGCAGCCTAAGAGAGGCAAGAGAACTCACGGTACGAGCTGTCATGGGAAAATGGGAAAATGAGATCACGTGTGAGAATCCTTGGTAGAGACGAGCAGGAGGGTTTCTGGCACTTCCTCCTCCAACCCGTGTGGTCTGTGTGCAGGTTCACTTTGTGTCACTTCTTGTAAACAGCTGCGTTTTTGTGGCTGACACGTCTGCCTCCTCTGCTAGACGGGGGACATCTCTAATCACACCGCCTTTGGATCTCAGAGCTCACTTCCAACAACGAGTCCTGTCCGCAACCACTGATCTCTTGGTGGTGCCCTCCTTGCTCTCCCTCCTGGCCCCAGAGGCTTGGCAGGCATCTAGGCATTTGCACTGCACGTGGCCAAGCCACCCTCTCCCTTCATTCAGCAGACGTTTGATGAGCACCTGCTGTGTGCAGAGAAGGATCCAGACCTGCCCTTGACCAGCTGAGGCCAGAACAAGGTGAGAAAGCTGGAGTACGATGTGGCCAGGGGCAACACAGGCCAAGAGGCAGGCAGGTGGTTCAGGACTTGGAAGCGCCCACCATTCAAGCAAGAGGCTCTTGGGAAAGGTGACTGCTCCCCTCTCTGGGCTCAAAGATGAGATCCTTGGGAGACTTCCAAGTCGGCTTCCAGATGCTCGGGAAGAGCAGGCATGAGGGTTAAGAATGTGACTGAGTTCAAACTGGTGTCTTGGGCTCAACCCCCAGCTCTGCCCTCTGGGCCTCAGTTTCCTCCTCTGTAAGATGGAGATGACAGGAGCATCTACCTGAGAGCCATGGTGAAAAGCAACAAACAGGCGTACTACAGAGAAGAGCCCTAGAACCTGAAAGTACATGTGAACAGCAGCATGAGCTAGGACAGTGCTTGGCAGAAAGCTGCAATTCTGCACTCCCCAAGCTGTGTACCCCACACGGACAGGGACCGTGACGTGTCCTCCTCCTGGGTTGTACCTCCTCCCCCACAGCTTCATGGAAATTCAGTGTGGGGGGGGGCGCTCCTGGGTGGCTCAGTGGGTTAAAGCCTCTGCCTTTGGCTCAGGTCATGATCCCAGGATCCTGGGATCGAGCCCCGCATCAGGCTCTCTGCTCAGCTTCCTTCTCTCTCTCTGCCTGCCTCTCTGCCTACTTGTGATCTCTGTCTGTCCAATAAATAAATAAAATCTTAAAAAAAAAAAAAAGAAAGAAATTCAATGGGGGGATGTCTTATGAGACCCAGAGAGTCCCCAGAACCAGAGCAAGCCTCCTTTCATGTCCCCTGGCCTGCCACTGGCCTGGGGCTCAGGAGCACTAGGATCACTGGGAACCTTGGGAGAAGCCAAGAAGCTCCAGCCCCACCAGCCCCTGGGGCAGCCTGAGCTCCGGATCCTGAGGAGATGCGCGGGGTGAACATCTCAGAAGGAAGTGCTAGAAACTGGACTGTGGGGAAACAGGCCCAGGGCGAGGATGAGGTCACTGGGCTGTGGCTGTCCTAGCCCTGGGTCATGAATAGACACAGGCTGCAGAACCTGAAAGCAGTTGGTGATGCTTGGTGGTGGCCAGTGAGGGGGACAGGGGCACCCCCTACCTGTCTGGAATAAATTTTAGAGAATAAAAATAACTGCCACAGAAGGCGGAGAGAGAGGGGCGCCTGGGTGGCTCAGTCACTAAGCGTCTGCCTTCGGCTCAGGTCATGATCCCAGGGTCCTGGGATCGAGCCCCACATCAGGCTCCTTGCTCAGTGGGGAGCCTGCTTCTCCCTCTCTCTCCCTCTGCCTGCTGCTCTGCCTACTTGTGCTTACTCTCTGTCAAATAAATAAATAAAATCTTAAAAAAAAAAAAAAGGCGGAGAGAGGCAGGGGAGGTGAGGCGCTGGGGTGGGCAGAAGTGTACGCACCCTCCAGGGGTAGGCTCTGTGCTGGAGTGCATGTACAGTGGGGATACGAAGTGGTGGGGGCTTGAGAGTGGGTTTTCTTTCTTTATTTTTTAAATTTTTCTTTATCTGACAGAGAGAGAGAGTACGGATGCAGCAGAGAGGGGGAGAAGCAGGCTCCAAGCTGAGCAGGGAGCCCGATGTGGGCCTTGATTCTAGGACTCTGAGCTCATGACCTAAGCCGAAGGCAGGCGCTTAATGACTGAGCCACCCAGGCTCCAGGAGTGGGTTTTCTAAAGATAAAGGTTCTGTTTCTTCCTGGCTGACCACCTGGCTTAAGGGTTTATCCCTGAGGCCTACCCAAAAGTAATGATGGCAGAATGCTCCCCATTCTAGGGACCAAGTTCTGAAGGTCCCACTGCCTTGCCCATGACCTCCCGGTGTGAGACTAGGGTTCCGAGAGGCCACCCCCTTACCAGGAGCCCCTGCTTGCTGCCTCTCAGGTATGCTGGGTGGGGACATGGGCCATACCAGTCTGAGGGCCGTCTGCCAGCACAGCGGCTCTTCCCAATCAGGCCAGCACCGTCCTTCCCCTGGCTCCTCCTCAGCTCTCAGGAAATGTACTTGCTCACCCAATGGCCATCATCTGGGCCCTGAGCCCTGCCTCTGAACTTCCACTCTAGCCACACCCTGCCTGACCCCCTAAACATCTCCTGAGGGCCCACCACTACCTCTACCCCAGGAAGCGAGGGGAAAAGAACCAGCATTTATCAGGCCCCCACCAAGAGCTTGTTAGTATCATTCCATATCACCTTGGAAGATAGTGACTGATACCATTTAAAGATAAGGAAACTGAAGCTTGGTGAGGTTAAGGTCACCTGTCTAAGACCTGGTGGGACTGGGACTTGAACCTACACCTGACTTCTGGTAAAGATTATGTGTTAACACTAATAATCTCTTTTTTGTGTGCCTCTGTGCACCAGGCATTCTGCTGGATACTTTATACCATTAATCCCATGGGAACCTTAAAATAACCCTTCAAGGAAGGTCTTCTGACCCTTTCATAGGTGAGGTTAAGTAACATGCTGACAGTGGCACTGGCCAGATTGTTAATTTTATGTGTCACCTTGGCCAGGCCATGGTTCCCATGTGACCAGTTTTTGGTTGAACACCAGTCTAGATGTTGCTGTGAAGATATTCTTTAGATGTGAGTAACACTGAAATCATTACTCTCCATAATGTAAGTAGGCCTCGGGCCAATCAGTTGAAGGCCTTATGAAAATAGACGGAGGCCTCCCTAAGGAAGATGGAATTCTGCCTCTGCACTGCCTTTAAACTCAAGCTACAGCATCAGCTGCCCTGGGGTTTCTGGTCTGCTGGCCTGTCCCACAGAATTCAACTTGTCAGCCCTCACAGTTGTGTAAACCAAGGCCTTAAACACACACACACACACACACACTTTCTCTCTCTCTCTCTCCTGGGGTTTCTGGTCTGCTGGCCTGTCCCGCAGAATTCAACTTGCCAGCCCTCACAGTTGTGTGAGCCAAGGCCTTAAACACACATACACACTCTCTCTCTCTTTATCTATGTGTGCACACATCCTATTGGTAATAACCTAGAACCACCCAACCTCTGGGGCTGAGCTCATACTATTCATTACTACTAATCAATGATTCATGACTATGACAAGTGATGAGACATGCTGAGGATGACACCAGGCCATTATTGGAATGTTTAGACTCAGTGTAAACACTAAGCCCAACACCCAGGGAGTGAACTATCAGTTGTGCCATCTTGGATTGCAAGTTCAGCAGACACTATTGACCTTGCTTGCATCATTTCCGTATGGAGGGGAGTTCTCTCGCGTATCTCCTCTCCATCACTGGAGGTATGCTGTTGCCAGAGCTGTGACAGTGGCCGGGAGGGTCAACACTATTTACTTCGCTGGCAGAGTCCCACAGGCAACTAACTAGCTGCTGAAGGCAGGGCTAGTTCTGTGGGACCCTGGAGCTGGGTTATTAAGCAGCCTCCTTATTTCTGTCGTCCTGTTTACTTGCACAGTGGGCTTCTCAGGGCTGGCATGCAGTCTTGTCCTCCACTGAAAGGCCAGCCCCTGCCTGGGCACCCACTGAGTGCCTGCTGAGAGAGGAGGTGCCAAGGCCAGGAGGAAGGACACTTGGTCTTCCTCAGCCCCAGCTCCACATTAAGACCCCTGACCTCTTCCTAGGGTGTGGATGGGATGCCCATCACTGAAGCAGGAAGGGACAGCTGCCCCCACCCTTACCCAGCTGGGGGACCCTGGGCATGTGAGTTCCCTGGTTGCCGAGTACTCATGGTGAGGCCTGTCCTTCCTGCCTCTCTGTCAGGTGCTGAGCTGAGGACAGAGCTGCAGAACTTCTGAGGAGTCAGAAGGGAAGCAAACTGCGGGAACTTCCTGCAGTTTCAAGGCTCAAGGCTGTGTTCCATCCTCCTGAATTCCTGAGGGGACTCCAGAGGCCCAAGTCGTAGACTCATGGGGCAGGGTAGAGAACCTCACCCGGCCAGCCCTTGAGGTGGGCAGACTTTAAAGGTAGAGGCTGAGACTGCAGAAGTGAAGGCACCAGCGAAAGCTATTGCTGATGGTCACAGGCTTGAGATCCCTGCCCTGGTTTGTGTGATTCCCGACACAGGATGAGGCTGTGTCCCCAGGGCCCCTCACCTGCCGGCCTTTTTTGGGAAACAAAATTATTTTACTTTTTAAAGAAAAGTGGTGCTTTTGCTTCTTAAACGGTGAGAGTACTGCAGACTTGAGAAGAACACGTAATGGCACGCACCACTGTGTGACCCAGCCTCTCCGTCATGATCCTACTCCTCTGAGTTAATGGCACAGCCCTTTGCATGTACACTCTTCTAGTGCCTTCCATGATACTTAAAGATTTTTAAGCAATGGGATCCCCCATTTGGCAGGAGCTCTTTCTCCCGCTGGTAGATTCAGACCCGCCCAGTCCTTGTTAATGACTACACAGCATTCCACAGTCGGTTTTTCCCACAGTTTACATAACTGATTCCCCACAGATGGGCGCTTGCCCATTTGTTGCTTCTCTGAGCAGCGCTGCAGTAAGTGAGTGTGGAAATCTCTGTGCACTCCCAGTGAGTATTTACATGGGATACGTTCCTAGGACAGGGGACTGCAGGGTCAAAGGAATGAAAGAAGTGTTCGCTTGCATAGTCAAGCTGCCCTTCCACCTTGGGTGGCTGGAGAGCCATGTCTTCCGCCTCTGGCCGCAAGAGTCCTCTCTGTTAATCTGACAGGCTAAATGACATCTCATCTTGAAGATATCTTCTTTGATGAGTAGATTGAAAAACACTTTATTTTCTGGCCATCTGTATTTGTCCAACCGTGAACTGCCTGTTTCTATTTTTCTGTTGTTTGTCTTGTAGAATTTGCAGGAACTTTTCCTATATGATGGCTTTAACACCTAATGATTGTGTTAAACAACCCACTCCTGTTTCAATTATTGAACAGGGAAGACTTTCTAGCTCTACTTCATTGATTTATTGGTAAATGGAATCCATTAAAAATCACATCACATATAGCACCACAAGGGATGGGGTTGGGCAAATTTTTTTCCCAGACAGCTCCCTGTGTGCCCTAAATCCCACTGATAAAGCTCCCTGAGAAGCCATCACCATGTCCACCTTGCCCCATCTGTGCACCCAGGCCCTGCGCTCTGGTCCGCCATTAACAGTAGTATCGTGTGGGGATAGGGTCCCCACAAGGATGTAGGGAAACTCCAGGACAGGTCATTACTGTGGAGGTAACTTCTGTGGGCCTGGCCCCAGATGTGGCAACAAAGTGGGCCCGGCCAGGTGCTAAGGCCACAAATTCCATGGCCTTCTCTTCCCTTTTCACTCTTCCTCAGTGACAGACCTTGCTCACTCTTAGCCTCTGGTGTCTCTCCTCTGCTGCCTAACCCTCCCTGACCATTTCAATTTCAGAACAGTACATGTTATGAGCACTGAGTGACTGACTGATCACCAGTCAGCCATTCCTCTTCTGGGAAAGGCTCTAAATTCATCCCAGTCATAGGGTCTCTAAATTCATCCCAGTGACCAGCCAACACACAGGTTACTGTGGGGGTTTGGGGAGACTTTCTCTTGAGTCCTGAAATGACACCCAGCCCACTTCGGTTATTCCTGGATATGCGGGCGGGATCAGAGGGATGGGATCATGGCCCTTCCCTTACCCTACCCACCACGTGCCCTGAAGAGGAAGCAGCTCAGCAAAGTCCAGGAACTTGTTTTACAGGTTCAAAGTAGTACGGCTCCAGGATTTGGGCCTTTCTTAACTACAGGCCAGGCAGGAACCTGCTCACCTCAGCAGCCCTGCCCTACCTTAACTCTGACACAGCCCTCCAGAGACCATCCTGTGGGGTGGGCCTGCTCCTCTGCCCTCAATCACCACCTGTGGCTGGGATCTCCTGCAGCTGAAACCTGTGGCCAGATCAGGATGTCCCCTGCCAGAAGTGCATCCTCTCGTGACCCTGAGTTCCTCAAGAGGGTAAGGGAGCAAGACTCAGCCAAATGTGCTGGGACTTAGGTGGAGAGAGAAGGAGTGAAGCTGGGGAAGGGGCAGCAGCAGCAGCAGGGAAAACCAGAGGCCAAGGAGTGGATTCTGGGTGCCCCTGAAGGTGGACATAACACGATGATGATGAAGATGGGGAGGGAACAGCACACGGTCCCAGGGAACCGACAAGTGCGATAAGAGAAGCTAAAAACTGGCTCGCTGCACAAATGTAACCTTAATTACAATCATTCAGACGGGGCCGTTTAGCACTTACTCCTAATTACAGGGCCGCTCCATGATGTGTGTCATTAGCACCAGATCAATGGAGCTGGGTGCTGCGACTGTTTGTTACGATCACAGGTACAGCTGATCTTCCCAGCGTGGGTTAACATAGACTGGCTCCGGGTCCCCTGGGCGGCAGCAGGGGAATCATACGGATGACGACACGCATCCCAAATGCTAACTCACTGAATTCTCATGAAAGCCCCTGTCCACATCCCCTACAAGCTGTCGGTTTCACAGAAAGAAGAAGTGCACTGGCCTGAAGTCCTGCTGCTGAGAAGCACCAGCACAGAGCTGTGAACCCCAGCTGCCCAGCTCTGCCCCTCTGAGCCCCATGATGCTGTCTACAGAGGGCAAGGGTTCCCGCTTGGCCCACTCGGCGTCCTCTGCCCTATGTTCCCTGTTGCCCCCTCCTCACCTGTATAGCTGCTGGAAGGAAGAGAGCGCTCTGGTCCTCCATTGAGTTCTGGGGTTCCTTCTGCCTCTGCCACTTCCTTTTTCTCCTCCTCTTCCCGGATCTCAGGGGCTTCCCCCGGCAGCTGCTCCATGGCTGACTTCCCCTCGGCGCCACGCCTGCAGGCCCGCTCATAGCTCTGGCATCATCTGGGTCTGAACGCAGAGGGACCTCTACAGGGCAGCTGCCATCAGCCTGGGCCAAGGGGCAGACAGGAAGAGCGTGAGAGGGTGAGAGAGGAGGGCATGCGAGAGGGCTACCACTGGCAGGGGGGCAGTATGGAAGGGGATCTCCTGCTCCGCTCCTTCACGGCAGGCATGCCTCCTCCCTGTAGCTCTAGCCCACGGGCTCCGCTCCTTGTACCCCGTGTCCCTTCTCCTCCTGCCCTCTGTCCACTTGGTTCCCGAGGCAGGTCTGGGGGGTTCAGAGCAGTCTCCACGAACCAGACAGGGTGACACACCCCTGCATCCTCTTTCCCTCCTCGGCCCCATCCTGCTCTTTGTGCTAGATCAGAATGACTTCAGGGGCTTTTTCCAACTTTGCAGTCCTCCTCGAGATCCTGACACGCATCATGCCTCCTAACCCCCGTCCCTCCCCTCCAGCACTCAGGCTCTCCTATGCCACAAGTTTTGTTTTTGTTTTTTTTTAAAGATTCTATTTATTTGACACAGAGAGATCTCAAGTAGGCAGAGCAGCAGGCAGAGGGAGAGAGGGGGAAGCAGGCTCCCCAGTGAGCAGAGAGCCCGATGCGGGGCTCGATCCCAGGACCCTGAGATCATGACCTGAGCTGAAAGCAGAGACTTAACCCACTGAGCCATGCAGGCACACCATATGCCACAAGCTTTGAAGGGAGTAAGTCCTATCCTTCCTGTGTTTGGGTGTGGGGGGAAGAAAAAAGACCCGAGGCTCTGTTAGGTGCTAGGCTTGCAGCTGGCAGATTTGCAACTAGACCCTCAGCAGCATAGCCGGCAGGTAAGGGGCCAGGCGTTCTGTCCAGGAATCTTTCTGAGGTGGGGTCCCGGGTGGGAACTCCTGCATGGAGGAGGCAGTGCTGACCCTCGGCAAGTGACATATTGCCCACAAATGCCACCATCGCGTCAGTGGTGGTAAGACCATGAGGTGTTGTGGGGGGCGGGGGAGTCGTCCTGGCAGGGACCAGCAGGGAGATGCCTTGAGAGTGGGGTGGATTTTGACCAGAGATGGCATGGAACTTGTGTTGAGAAAAGCATGAGAAAAGACTCAGAGGCAGCACAGTGGAGAGCAGTAAGGATCCCGGTGGCCACAGAGCGAGGCCTGTGGGAGCGAGGATTTGGAGGGATGGCTGGGAAGGTGGGCTGCGTCCAGGCACACATGAGCAACTGACTCCATCCCAAGGCAGTGCAGGCTGTGGGAGGATTGAGAGCATTAAAGACCTGCTTTAGGGAAATCTAAGCATCTGTGGGCTTTCTAGATGTGCCACAGGCAGCTTGAGCTCAACCTATCCAAACAGAACCCACCATCTGCCCTCAAACCCACCCTTCCTCTGGTAATACCTACTTTAGTGATCTGCACTGCTCATCTACCCACTTAGCAAACCCAGAAGTCAGGGGTCAATGGAGACTCTTCCCTCTCCCACGCTGCTCCGCACTTGCACACTTGGCCAGACACTGCAACTACTGGGGAGTTTTTCAAAATAGGGATGTCTGGGCTTATCCCTAGAGATTCTCATCAAATGGTCTGGGGGAGCTGCCTGGGCACTTGGGATCTTTGTTTTCAATTCTCCTGGTGATGGTCACGTGCAGCCAAGCTTGAGAACCACTGCTCTACAGCAAGGCCGCTTCCAGCGGACAGTAAATCTTCCCTCTCCCAGCAATCCTTTCCAGGAGGCTTTCATTTTCCCTTGTTTGGACGGACAACAACCTCTTCCATTTTGTCCGCGAAAGGCAGTTTGGAAATTTGGCCCTAGAGTCTAAGAGCTGGGAAATTGGGAATGTGGAGATGTGCCGGGCATACTCGTTGATCTGATTGATGGTCATGGGAGGGGATTCAGTTCACCAAAGGAAAAACAACATGTCAAGGGAGGTCAGGGGCATAGGCACCAGAGCCAACAGAGCACTGGCCAGGCGCAGGACAGACATGGGACAACCAGACAATCTGGAGTCATGGGAAGGGCTGTTTCACGGGGGCGAGCTCAACTGTGTCAAAAGGTGCAGAGTTGAAGGCTGATAAACTGACACACGACCCCTGGGTTTAGTGACCGCCAGGTCATCAGTGACCTTGTGAGGCAAGTTTCAGTCAAGTGGTTAGGATGGAAACTGGGACTCTGGAGAATAAGTGGGAGGGAGGGAGGTAGTATGGCAAATGGAGACTCGGTTTTTGGTAAATATGTCAAGGAAATAAATGTACTGGCTCGAGAAAGTGGCAAAGTTAGGAAGAAGTTTTTTGGACTAGAGGAGACTCGAGTAAGCCATGGGTAGAGGAGAGGTCTGCAGAGAAAGACCACCTGAAGATTTAAGGCCAGGTAGCTGGGACATAATGACTGATGGGAGGGGACTAATTCTAGGGCACAGGAGGAAGAATGTACAAAGAAGTATCATGGCAACTGGGGAGGAGGTTGTTAAAGCTCATACTGGATGGGATGGCCTCAGTCTTTTAGTTAATAAAGTAGGAGGGAAAGTTGTCCACTAAGAGTAAAAGATGGGACTTGCAGAAAGCAAAGAGGCTGGGTGGAGGCACTTTGGCAAACACAACACAGAATTAGTTGGAGAAGAATAAAAAGAAGTATATAGCAAAGCCATGATAATTAAAACAGTGTCACACTGGTACACGAATAGACAATCAATGAAAGAGAATACAGAGTCCATAAATAGCTGCTAACATATACGGAACGTTAACATGTTATAAAGACAGCACTTCACATCAAAGAGAATAAATGGGTTCTCCAATAAATGGTAATGGGACAACAGAGTAGCCATCTGGAAAAATTAAGATGGATCCCTACCTCAAATCTTCTATCAAGATGAGGTCCCAGGAAATAAAAAAAAAATTTTTTAAGTTAAAACAAAAATATAGGGGTTCCTGGATGGCTCAGGGGGTTAAGCCTCTGCCTTCAGCTCGGGTCATGATCTCACGGTCCTGGGATCAAGCCCCACATCTGGCTCTCTGTTCAGCGGGGAGCCTGCTTCCCCCCTCTCTCTGACTGCCTCTCTGCCTACTTGTGATCTCTGTCAAATAAATAAATAAATAGAATCTTAAAAAAAAAAAAACACCCAAAATATATGCATTATTGGACACCTCGCTCACTCAGTCCATGCAGCACGGAATTCTAGATCTCAGGATCATGGGTTCAATCCCCATTGTGGACACAGAGACTACTTTAAAAAATTGTATATATGTACAAATATACACACACACATATATAAACTTTCAACATAGTAGAAAAAATCATAACAAAAAAAGATAATAAACTGGGAAAAATATCTGTAACTCTCATCAAGGGGCTAGTTTCTCTAAAACATTTCCTATAAACAAGAGGCCAGCAACCTCACAGATAAATGGGCCTGAGATATGAAACATGTATACAGAAAAGGTACCCACTTGAAAAGCTGCTGAGAATCACTCATAAAAAAAAGAAATACACAATACTCAAATACACTTTTAAGATCAGATTAAAACAAATGCTAACATGTTGCTATACACGTTGGGAAACATAATCTCACACAGCCCTGATGGAGAGGTAGGCTGGCATGACTTCTGAAGAGGATAACTTGCTTACAATTATCTAAATTACAAGTGCACATTCCCTATGACCCAGAAATGCCACTTCTGGGTTTTATGGTACAGCTGTGTTTCCACTTTAGCAAAATAACAGAACTTTGTTGGTACACAGTTATCCATTACAGTACTATCGGACTAGTAAGAGGCAAGGGTCACACCGAATGTCTATAATCAGGGGGCTTAGTAAACAAATTAGGACATGGGGACAGGAATTCTATGCAGCCACAAACAAGAATCATGATGTTTATGGACCAGAATGGAAGTATCTTCATATCTCCATCCACATATTAAAAAGGGAATAGAGGAACTTGCAGAAGGAATTGAAGAGCTACACCTCATGCAAAAAAGATAAACCAAAGTTTGTGTTTGCTTGCGTGTGTGTGAGTGTGTAAGGCAGGAAGGCTCCAGAAGAACTGGGAATACTGGTCGCCTCTGGGTCACTAGCGGGAGAGAGGTTTTTTCACAGTACCTTTTGTGCCTTTTAAACTCTGAACTACAGGCATGTTATCTGTTCTGAAAAGCATTTAAACTGGAATAAAGAGGCAAAACCTACAAATGATAATGTGGAAGAGGAGAGGGAGACAGCTGGAGGTGCTCGGGCAAATACAGATGGAAAAACGTCTGAGGTAACCACTACGGTACCATAAATAGCATGTGTGGTTGCCAAATTACTACAGTAGAACAGGAAAACTTAGAAGTCATGTAAAACTCTAGCTTTCTGACTACGAAAGTGTCACAGATGGGACACTATGGAGACACAGAAACTCAATGTGATGTAAGGCAGATTGGATCCTAGAACAGAAAGAGGACAGTGGTAGCAGAACTGGTAGGATTGAATAAAACCCTCTTAGTTTGTAGCACTGAAGCCATGTTCATTTCTTAGTATGGGTAAGTGTCTGGCATTTTTGTATGATGTTCACATTAGGGGAAGCTGGATGAAGGGCACATGGGAACTCTGTGTGATCTCTGTGAGATTTCTGTAACTCTCCAGTTTTTTCAAAATAGAATTTTTTTTTTTAAAGCTTAAAAACTCCTGGCTTGGGGCGCCTGAGTGGCTCAGTGGGTTAAAGCCTCTGCCTTCAGCTCGGGTCATGATCCCAGGGTCCTGGGATCGAGCCCCACATTGGGCTCTCTGCTCAGCGGGGAGCCTGCTTCCTCCTCTCTCTCTCTGCCTGCCTCTCTGCCTACTTGTAATCTCTCCCTGTCAAACAAATAAATAAAAATCTTTAAAATAAAAATGAAAATAAAAAAAAATAATAAAAAAAAACCCTCCTGGCTTTCTGGCTTCTCTTGAAAATTGAGCAGACCTAGCCACTGGGTACCCGCATGGTGCCAACACGACCCTGGGAGCTGAGCAGTGGCCTCCCCTTTACCTGGACAGGTGCTAGCCACTGACACCCACGGTTCCAGCTATTTCCTGCGGGGTCACTTCCTTGGCT